GGGGTGTTCTAAAAGTTGGGGGAAATTGTGATTTTTCTGCCTGGAGATAATTAAGTTACTACTTTATCAGCCTTAATTATCTCCAGGTCGAGGGGAGGGAATTATATGTTTGTACCGGAAGTGTTTAACTATTTCTCTGTTTATGATTGGCTGTATGATTTATGTTCCTGTGGGAGGTCCCCTTGCATGGGGACTTGCATAAAAGCCAGTGTGGCATCATTAAACTTCAGTTCTGTTATACCCTTCATCTAGACTTTGGTTGATGTTTGGGTATCTGTCTGCTTTACTAAGGAAATCTACTTGGAAACTGTTATTTGTATGGGAATCACTTACAGTTGCAAGAAAAAGTATGTGAACCCTTTGGAATGATATGGATTTCTGCACAAATTGGTCATAAAATGTGATCTGATCATCATCTAAGTCACAACAATAGACAATCACAGTCTGCTTAAACTAATAACACACAAAGAATGAAATGTTGCCATGTTTTTATTGAACACACCATGTAAACATTCACAGTGCAGGTGGAAAAAAGTATGTGAACCCCTAGACTAATGACATCTCCAAGAGCTAATTGGAGTGAGATGTCAGCCAACTGGAGTCCAATCAATGAGATGAGATTGGAGGTGTTGGTTACAGCTGCCCTGCCCTATAAAAAACACACACCAGTTCTGGGTTTGCTTTTCACAAGAAGCATTGCCTGATGTGAATGATGCCTCGCACAAAAGAGCTCTCAGAAGACCTATTGTTACGGTACCCTCAGCATGAAATGGGTCCTGCCCATTCGTTCATTTAAGTGTTTTTTTTGGTGACATAACACTGGATTGTGTTTAAATGCACTGGGATATACCATATGTATATATCTTTTTAGATTTTTAGCGCCACTTACCCATTTCTTGTAGTTACAAAAGTAAAAGATACCAGAATTCAGGGAAGTCAAAACGAAGCCAAAGTCAAATACCAGAAAATCAAGATCAGGAACGCACTCTCGTATTACCAAGATTAAACCACAACAGGGCAATGCGCAAGGGGAGAATTGGGTGTAAATACCCTCCTGTGGATCTGATTGGCTGTAACCAGCCTTTTCCATGTGCATGATTGCTGCTCGGCACAACTTTTCCTGTCAGGACAGTAAATGCCATTAACCACATTTTTATGTGCGGACCCGATATCTCAAAATAGGATAAATAAGCAATAATGAATGACAGCCTGAGCCTACCTAATTGCTGTTACCAGCTAATGGAAGTAAAACCCAACCCTGGCTAAAAATAGCCTAGTATAGAAAGACAAAAGTCCAATTGTAGGTAGAAAAGGCGGTAAACTATCCCTAAACACAGGGAACAGGAACAGCTACAGAGTTGTAAAAGGAGAGAAGGGTATAATAAGGAGAGCAGAAAATAAGTAACTACTACATTGACAAAACCAGAAAAGTAAATCAAGTAAGATCCTCTCTAAATAATGAAGAGACAAAAATGGGGCATCCCTATTGATAAACCCTATAACTCCTGGAAACCCCTTCGAGGGTGTTCTATATAAATGCTGAATCTGAAGTGACAATCCTATAATGCTACCGCAGTATAAAAAAAAAGTAACCATCATGTGTCAGTGCATAGTGCGGAAGTGCTCCAAAAGGGAGGTAATAATGAAAAGCTTTTCATTATTATTATCTCCCTTTTCATTATTATCTCTCCTTCACCCTGTTGCCTCCCCTCCCCCTACCTCAAGATTTCTACAATCAGGGAAGAGATCTCTCCAAGTTCCTTGAGAGAGTTGTGTATGCGAGATTGACAGACTTCCTCAAATCCAACTCTCTGCCAGACCCGTTTCAGTCTGGATTCTGTGCTCGTCACTCTGTTGAAACAGGCGTGACCAAAGTATCCAACGATTTAATTGATGCTAAATCTCCATCAATCTATCCTAATTCTCCTTGACCTGTCTGCTGCCTTTGACACTGTTGATCATCAACAGCCTCTTCTCATCCTCCACAATATCGGTCTACAAGATATTGCTCTCTCCTGGTGCTCCTCCTACCTCACCCAGCGCTCTTTCAGTGTTTCTTTCTCTGGCTCTGCTTCTTCTCGCCAACTCCTCTCTGTTGGTGTCCCCCAAGGTTCAGTCCTTGGTCCCCTACTGTTCTCCATCTATACTGCCTCCCTTGGTAACTCATTAGCTCCTTTTGCTTCCATTATCATTTATATGCAGATGACACATGTGACGAAGTGCCCTTCGCCACTTGGTACTGGAGAGGCCTGCTTGCCAGCCTCCTCCCCTGTGACTATGACTCTTTGATGTATTTGCCTTTAAAGCCCCTATTCTACCTTCAGACAGACTATTTATGTAGGCTGCTTTATTTATCTTATGTTTTAGTCACCCTGTACCCATTATAGGTGCAGGGTGTGTGTAATGTAATTGTTTATAGTGTGTGTGTGTGTGTACTGTGTAATGTATTGCCTGCTCTCTTGTATTGCTGAGGTTTGCTACCAACTAGGTGGGTTTGGCTATGGAGCTGGTCTAGTGCCCTCTGTTGGTAGCAACAGCAATATGCACTACCTGAATTGCAAGACTGGTTCATTTGCATATTCGGGTAGATTTGCATATTGCTAATTCGGCAGGCAGGTGAGATATTTACTGTTAAATATTGTCTCCCCCCACCCCTTTAAAAATGTGTCATTGTGTTGTGATAAGTCACTGTGTGTTTCTTGATATGGTTTGACTGTTTGTGATTTTATTGAGGTTTCACAACAATGTTATTGTGGTGACTGTATTGGCTGGTCCCAAGGGAATAAAGGTTTTGACAGTTCTTCTTGATCCCTCTAAACGTAGCCTTGTCTCGTTATTGGAGGGAGCTGTTATAATCACACTGGGGATTGCTATGCTCTGCATGCTCCCCTGAGCTTGAATCACTTAGCTCTTTTAAGAGCTTGTTCCTGACACGCTCTCCTTGGAGGAGGGGTCTTCACCACACAGTCCTGGATGCTGGAGGTTCGTACAGGGTGGAAGGAAGAGTTCTTTCCCACACAGTCCTGGAGGACAGAAGCTGATCCAGGGTGGAAGGAAGACGGCGAGACTCCAGTCAAGATACGGCGGTTGCGGAATCTGCGGTAGTTGTGGTGTCTGCTGCAGTGCTTGGAGTCCTCAGGAAGCGCTAGGAGCATCCGTCAACGGAGGGTACTCGGTTGGAGTACAAGGAGCTCCGTTACAACACACAAATCTACCTGTCCTCTCCTGATCTCTCTCCGCCCATCTTGACTCGTGTCTCTGACTGCCTCTCTACGATTTCCAACTGGATGGCTGCTCACTTCCTTAAACTCAACCTGTCCAAAACAGAACTTCTGGTATTTCCTCCCTCAAGTGTTGTTACTCCCGTGTCTTTCTCCCTCCAAGTAAACGGCGCCACCATCACCTCTACCTTGCAGGCTCTCTGTCTAGGTGTTCTCTTTGACTCCGACCTCTCCTTCACCCCTCATGTCCAGTCGATCACCAAATCCTGCCGCTTCCATCTTAAAAACATAGCGCACATCTGCCCCTATTTAACACCAGACGCAGCTAAGGTGCTGGTCCATGCCGTTGTTTTTTCTCGCCCTTCTCAGTGGTCTTGTGTGTTCCCAGATTGCACCACTGCAATCTATAATGAATGTGGAGGTGAGGCTCATTTTCCTGTCCGCCCGCACCTCCCACGCCTCTGTCAGTCCCTACATTCCAGTTAGATATAGGACTATTTAAGATTCTGGTGCTTGCTTACAAATCCCTATATAATGCTGCTCCAACCTACCTATCCTCCCTAATACACAAGTATGTCGGTCGAAGCCCCTGCGCTCTGCCGAAGAAATATGTCTATCCTCTGTCCGTACTCCCACATCTGATGCTTGCCTCCAAGACTTCTCCAGGGCTGCACCTTTTCTGTGCTACTCACTTCCCTTCTCCGTTAGACTTTCACCCAGTCTCCACCCCTTCAAAAAATCTTTGAAAACATACTTCTTCAGGAAAGCATATCATTGAAACTGTTAGCGGATTTTCATTCCCTCGTCCACCCCCCCACCCACCACCACCACCCATGACTGCTCACCTGAAACTATAAAAAATAATAAGTTCTCAGTGAATACTTCTCTAGCAACCTATTTCATTACCTCTACTTATACCCTTTGTGTCACTATAGCCCACTCCCTCTAACATGTAAGATCACTGAGCAGGCCTCTTAATCCCTCTGTTACTGTGTCACTATACCCCACTCCCTCTAACATGTAAACTCACTGAGCAGAGCGCTCAATCCCTCTGTTACTGTGTTACTATACCCCACTCCCTCTAACATGTAAACTCACTGAGCAGGCCCTCAATCCCTCTGTTACTGTGTCACTATACCCCACTCCCTCTAACATGTAAACTCACTGAGCAGGGCCCTCAATCCCTCTGTTACTGTGTCACTATACCCCACTCCCTCTAACATGTAAACTCACTGAGCAGGCCCTCAATCCCTCTGTTACTGTGTCACTATACCCCACTCCCTCTAACATGTAAACTCACTGAGCAGGCCCTCAATCCCTCTGTTACTGTGTCACTATACCCCACTCCCTCTAACATGTAAACTCACTGAGCAGGCCCTCAATCCCTCTGTTACTGTGTCACTATACCCCACTCCCTCTAACATGTAAACTCACTGAGCAGGCCCTCAATCCCTCTGTTACTGTGTCACTATACCCCATTCCCTCTAACATGTAAACTCACTGAGCAGGCCCTCAATCCCTCTGTTACTGTGTCACTATACCCCACTCCCTCTAACATGTAAACTCACTGAGCAGGGCCCTCAATCCCTCTGTTACTGTGTCACTATACCCCACTCCCTCTAACATGTAAACTCACTGAGCAGGCCCTCAATCCCTCTGTTACTGTGTCACTATACCCCACTCCCTCTAACATATAAACTCACTGAGCAGGGCCCTCAATCCCTCTGTTACTGTGTCACTATACCCCACTCCCTCTGTCATGTAAACTAACTGAGCAGGGCCCTCAATCCCTCTGTTACTGTGTCACTATACCCCACTCCCTCTAACATATAAACTCACTGAGCAGGGCCTCAATCCCTCTGTTACTGTGTTACTATACCCCACTCCCTCTAACATGTAAACTCACTGAGCAGGGCCCTCAACCCCTCTGTTACTGTCACTATACCCCACTCCCTCTAACATGTAAACTGACTGAGCAGGGCCCTCAACCCCTCTGTTACTGTGTCACTATACCCAACTCCCTCTAACATGTAAACTCACTGAGCAGGGCACTCAATCCCTCTGTTACTGTCACTATACCCCACTCCCTCTAACATGTAAGCTCACTGAGCAGGCCCTCAATCCCTCTGTTACTGTGTCACTATACCCCACTCCCTCTAACATGTAAACTCACTGAGCAGGCCCTCAATCCCTCTGTTACTGTCACTGCCACCCCCCTCCCTCCTAACATGTAAGCGCTCACTGAGCAGGGCCCTCAATCCCCTCTGTTACTGTGTCCACTGCTACTTACATCCTCCTAACATGTAAACTCACTGGGCAGGGCCCTCCAATCCCTCTGTTACTGTGTCACTATACCCCCCCTCCCTCTAACATGTAAACTCACTGAGCAGGCCCTCAATCCCTCTGTTGCTGTGTCACTATGCCCCCCCACTCCCTCCCTAACATGTGGCTCACTAGGCAGGCCCTCAATCCCACTCCCTGTTACTGTGTCCACTATACCCCACTCCCTCTAACATGTAGAAGCTCACTGAGCAGACCCCTCAATCCCTGTACTGTGTCACTATACCCACTCCCTCTAACATGTAAACTCACTGAGCAGGGCCTCAATCCCTCTGTTACTGTGTCACTATACCCCACTCCCTCTAACATGTAAACTCACTGAGCAGGGCCCTCAATCCCTCTGTTACTGTGTCACTATACCCCCACTCCCTCTAGCATTTAAGCTCACTGAGCAGGCCCTCAATCCCTCTGTTACTGTGTCACTATACCCCACTCCGTCTAACATGTAAACTCACTGAGCATGGCCCTCAATCCCTCTGTTACTGTGTCACTATACCCCACTCTCTCTAACATGTAACCTCACTGAGCAGGTCCTCAATCCCTCTGTTACTGTGTCACTATACCCCACTCCCTCTAACATGTAAACTCACTGAGCAGGCCCTCAATCCCTCTGTTACTGTGTCAATATACCCCACTCCCTCTAGCATGTAAACTCACTGAGCAGGCCCTCAATCCCTCTGTTACTGTGTCACTATACCCCACTCCCTCTAGCATGCAAACTCACTGAGCAGGCCCTCAATCCCTCTGTTACTGTGTCACTATACCCCACTCCCACTAACATGTAAACTCACTGAGCAGGGCCCTCAATCCCTCTGTTACTGTGTCACTATACCCCACTCCCTCTAGCATGTAAGCTCATTGAGCAGGCCCTCAATCCCTCTGTTACTGTCACTATACCCCACCCTCCCAACACATGTAAACTCACTGGGCAGGCCTCAATCCCTCTGTTACTGTCACTATACCCCCTCCTCTAACATGTAAGCTCACCAGGCGGGCCTCAATCCCTCTGTTTGCTGTGTCACTATACCCCACTCCCTTCTAGCATGTAAACTCACTGGGCCGGAGACCTCAATCCCTCTGTTGCTGTGTCACTGCCCCCACTCCCTCTACCATGTAAGCTCACTTTGAGCAGGGGCTCTCTCAAATCCCTCTGTTACTGTCACTATACCCCCTCCCTCTAGCATGTAAACTCACTGGCTGAGGGCCCTCAATCCCTCTGTTACTGTGTCACTATACCCCACTCCCTCTAACATGTAAGCTCACTGAGCAGGGCACTCAATCCCTCTGTTACTGTCACTATACCACACTCCCTCTACCATGTAAGCTCACTGAGCAGGCCCTCAATCCCTCTGTTACTGTCACTATACCCCCCTCCCTCTAGCATGTAAGCTCACTGAGCAGGCCCTCAATCCCTCTGTTACTGTGTCACTATACCCCACTCCCTCTAACATGTAAACTCACTGAGCAGGGCCCTCAATCCCTCTGTTACTGTGTCACTATACCCCCTCCCTCTAACATGTAAGCTCACTGTTGAGCCCTCAATCCCTCTGTTACTGTGTCACTATACCCCACTCCCTCCTAGCATGTAAACTCACTGAGCAGGGCCTCAATCCCTCTCTTGCTGTGTCACTATACCCCACTCCCTCTAACATGTAAACTCACTGAGCAGGGCCCTCAATCCTCTGTTACTGTGTCACTATACCCCACTCCCTCTAACATGTAAACTCACTGAGCAGGGCCTCAATCCCTCTGTTGCTGTGTCACTATACCCCACTCCCTCTAACATGTAAACTCACTGAGCAGGACCTCAATCCCTCTGTTACTGTGTCACTATACCCCACTCCCTCTAACATGTAAACTCACTGGGCAGGCCCTCAATCCCTCTGTTGCTGTCACTGTACCCCACTCCCTCTAACATGTAAACTCACTGGCAGGGCGGCCTCAATCCCTCTGTTACTGTGTCACTATACCCCACTCCCTCTAACATGTAAACTCACTGAGCAGGCCCTCAATCCCTCTGTTACTGTGTCCTATACCCCACTCCCTCTAACATGTAAACTCACTGAGCAGGACTAATCCCTCTATTACTGTCCTATACCCCACTCCCTCTAACATGTAAACTCACTGAGCAGGCCCTCAATCCCTCTGTTACTGTGTCACTATACCTCACTCCCTCTAACATGTAAACTCACTGAGCAGAGCCTCAATCCCTCTGTTACTGTGTCACTGTACCCCACTCCCTCTAACATGTAAGCTCACTGAGCAGGACCCTCAATCCCTCTGTTACTGTGTCACTATACCCCACTCCCTCTAACATGTAAACTCACTGAGCAGGCCCTCACACTGTCCAGATTGTTTGTTTGAAACAAGATGCATGCATGCAGAAGTAAATCACACTGAGACACAAGTTTGCCAGTTAATGGAAAAACTTTGGAATGTTTTAATCGGGGGTGGCGAGCCCCCTATAAGGGCAGAAATACATCATATGCAAAACATGAGATAACATGGAAAGTACGTTTTTAATTGGTAAATGCTAAGGATCTTATCTACTGTACCTCCCCCAGGGTGTGACGTCATCAGCATTCTGGGTGCAGCTCTCTGGAAGGAGATGCCATCTTAATACATGACATTCTTTACATTCTTTAGTCGATGGGAGGGGTGCTCTAGCAGCCATTTTAAGCAAATAGACAATTTACTAACATTAATTTCCATCCATAACAACGTGATTAGACCTGCATTGAATATAGTCGCATTGTGCGCTGCCTGTATATTCAGGACATTATGAAGTATGTTTGGATGTCAGTATTTAATGTGCAGTTGCATATTGGAACACTTTGAAATCTGCTAAAAAAGAGAAAAAAATAAATTAACCACGGTGAGCTCCTTCACAGCGCCGGATGCAGCACACTACGCTCATATAGTAAGGTTAGGGGGTGCCTATCTTCATTGCTGCCATCAGTAATTGTGGGACCCCTATAGAGTACGGGCTTCATGACCGGTGTATAGTCGCCATATGGGCAGTCGGACTCCAGGACAACCCTCCCACATACCTAACCCAATAATGCACTGACACTCGGGTATATGGGAAAATTTGTCCACAGCTTTATTAAACAATCTGAATAATAATAACCATATATTCAACATAACATAATAATAGTGATAATTTAACAAATAAACATGGGTCATTGCCCCCCATACTCCGCCCTCGCATCCGATTCCTTCTGTTAATATAAAAGGCAATGACCCCCATATAAATAACACATATATATAACATATACCAACATTATTCCAACATACCAACTTAAAGTGCCAACATAAATTTAACCATGGCAGGGGTATACCCGGATACCCCTACCCCACCAGGTTCTGAGCCACCGACAGGACTCGAAACCTACCAACCACCAATGACCACAGTTTTCCATATCTGTCACGTTCATCCTAGGGAGCCTATTCCTTCTCCTTCAGCTCCCTATCCCGCCACAAGCTCAGACCTTGACCCCTTAAGCCGTCTGAGCTCCGCCACCCCGAAGAAATAGCGCCTTGGTTATTCCGTCTTGCCAACCCAGGTTCAGCAGGTCCCATCCTACTGCCGAAAGATGAACGCCATCTGAGCGGTAGTACCCCGGCAACCCGCCTTCCAACTCGCTGTGCCGCACTACCACCCCCCCCCAACTTCCTTACGAAGCTTGCCATCAAGCTATTCACCTTCTTTCTACACTTGTCGATGGCCACCGGGTCCCTTGCGTGCCGCCACCGCCTCCTCGGGATAATCTCTGACCATACTAACATTACTCCCGGAAGCAGGTCCCTCAATTTGTTGAGGTCCTGCTTCATCCACTTCACCAACCTCCGCTGCGGAGTTAGGCCCAAGTCATTGCCCCCCGCATGTAGCACCAGCAGGTCTGGCCTCCGCCCGCCTGCCACCATCTGGAACACTTCCCGGCAAACTTCCCCCCAGCAAAAACCCCTATACCCGAACCATTGCACCACCAACTGGTCCCTTGAAAAGCCCAGCTGCTGGCCCTGAGCTCGAGCTGCGGCTCTCCTTTCGGCCCAGAAAACAAAGGAATGGCCCACGATCTAGCCTGGGGAAGAGAGAAAACACAGATTGTAACAACACCCCCCTATTGCCCTCCGGGAACCCCCGAAAAAAGGCCCGACATATCATTCTAACAATCCCAACCGCACGTACGACCGGAACCGTACTGACTCCCACCTTCCAATTCGTTTAACTATGTCATCCCCCAGACCCAACCTTGCGGCTTCCGTGGCCGCCCCGATGCGAAAGGAATGTGTACCAAAGCTATCCACCCGTAACCCCATTTTTCCCAGGCCCCACCGAAAAACCTTAATAAATTGAAATCGGGAGAGGGAAGACCCATCTGCGTGCACCAGGAGGGATCCCCCCACCTTCGGCCTCCGGACCAAATACTCTGCCACCGAGGCTACCGGGCACAGAACAGAGCCCGGCAGGGCCTGAAGTGTCACATCACGGCCCACCCCCCGTGAATCCGTCTTAGATTCGGCCAGGTGAACCACCAGTTTCCCCCCTTGCAGCCGAACCCCGGAGACCTGTAGGCCCCCGGCCACTACCCGATTGGCACTCACCAACTCGCTAATCCGGAAAGCCCCGAAGAAAGCCAACAGAAACGCTGTCCGAAACAGGGACACCTCAAACTCATCGAAGCAAATCCCAGGCAGCCCACTAACCAGATCCCCCAATACCCGCACCGACACCGGGCACCTAGCGTCTGGAAACCGGCGCCCCTTCCGATAACCCTTAAGTGCCTGCCTGATGAGGAAGGACTTGGTAACATCTTCCTTCCCATGCAG